ATTCGATCAGCATTCTCGTGATTCTCGTGCAAACCGCTGAATCAGTGGTATTCGAAGAGCAACGGAATGTTCAGTGGAGGGCCATTTCAAAGGGCATGTGCAAACAAACGCGCCCCTCGATGGGGATCACACCACAGCCCTCTGGGACCCTGTGGCGAAACAAACTTGGAAAAGGGCTCACAGGCTGTATCAGCTTCGAAGTTCCAGAAATTAGTTACTCAATACTTAGCCCTTGACTTGAGGGAACGGCAAGGAAAGCTGGGTCCGATCAACAGAAGGTTTCAACAAAAACTGTATAGTTACTAGTTACTGACTACTTAGCGGTTCTTCATTAGGTGCAATAGTTAGGGAGCGGGACTTTAGTCTTTCTAAGACCGCCCGGGTAGAGTAGACTAGAACAGGAACAACAGAAGGAAAGGCACCGACACACAAGTGCGTCGAGTACCATGTCCTCCTGTTGCCCTAATTAGGTCAGCAGGTACGTTTGCAGCCCTCACCAGTGGCCTCTTCGGTGGCCATCCACCACTGGTGAGAGGGATGGCCCCCTGCTCTGCACATGTATCAACAAGTTCCTTAGAGACAGGAGTTGGCACACACACACAGACAGACAGACACACACACACACACAGGCGCACACATCCGGCAGCGGCGCCCTGCAGCGGCACCAGCACCCATGCGGTCATGAACATCTCGCAGCCGCGCCCTGCAGCGGCACCAACACCCAGGCTCCAAAGCGCACACAGGTACCTCTTCCTGCACTTGAAGTATGAACCCCAATAGCTCTCCCAGGCTCTCCCAATAGCTCTTGCCATCTGGGGAGTTAAAAGGTTGCCATCGTAAACCAATGGAATAGCTATATAGATCATGTGCATATAGCGTGTCCTTAAAAACTCTCAAACTGCATGTCCCGAAGAGCTTTCGACGCAAGGAACTGCAATGCAACATTTTGTGCAAACTGATGCGACTGAAGTGCCTGAGAGTAAATGAATAGAACATGGAGCAAGAGAAAGGGGAAAACACAGTGGCAGGAAATGAGTCAACAAGCCGTGCAATTGAGGCTGTGAGTTGAGCCCTGCACAACAGCCAGATTCCACGGAGCCCAGGCCTTGTCTGAGAAGAAGTGCAGCATCGACTACGGATTGGTGTCCAGCTACTTGGGTCACACTACAGCGCCAACGCAGAAAAACAACCCAACTGGACCGCACACCTGTCTGACTGTCTGAGGCTTGGTGGTTATCTGCGTTCGTTGGATGCTCTTGAGCTTGCCTTTCAGCTCAGCCTTGCACGAGTCATTCTCGCATGCCCTGGAACCTGAGCTTATCTAGTTACCAAGCTTGGCTCTGTGGGGAACCCTAGCCAGGGTACAAAAAACACATTGTCAAGTTAGCCAAGGTCATGCTTTAGTGCGGAAAACGGTCATCTTTTCCGGCTCGGAGCTTGAGTTTGGGCGGATGCCGGGAGCATTAATCAAACGAAATGATCAACTCTGCCCGATGGCCCGATGGCAATGCACGGCCTGTTGTTCGGGCTCTGTAGCCTTGTAGGGAGCAGGTGTTTGCCACTGCAGCGGAGTTTGCCACAGTAGTGAAGACTGATGGTGACTGGACTGACTGTCGAAGATTAGCTAGGTTTCCTTGCTAGGAGCACTAAAGCTGTTCCTCGCAGGAGAATTGTTCCGTCTTCTCCTGCCCACTTCTCCTGAAGATGCGCCTCAGCTGCGCCCTCATCCCACGGAGCCAACTCGCTTGCAACAGGGTTCTTGTTGAGTGTGGCAGCCATGTGCCGTGGCAAGCACGGATGACTGCCCGGCACAAAGCGAGCTTCCAAATCAGGGTCCTTCCAAACGGTTGGACCCTCATCAAGGTCACCGCGAAAGAGGCGTCGCATGAAGGCCTCGTTGCCAAATTTCATCGTTCGAGCTGCAAGTGGCACATCTTCAAATCGGCCCTGGCCCTTGAAAACATGAGCTAAGTCAGACAAGAAATCGTGGACCGCGTTGTTGTAGTGCCAGGTGGTTGTGATTGCAACCCCACCAGGCTTGAGCAATCGCCAGAATTCTCGAACAACTTTCTCTGGAGATGGCGGAAACATTATGCCAAAGGTGCAGACAATAGCGTCGAACGATCCATCTTCATATGAAGAGAGGTCCTGAGCATCAGCCACTCGAGAGGACACCTGCAGAAGACCTTCCTTGACTGCTGCTCGTGTCGCCAAAACATCAGAGTCCAAACTGGACGCGCCAGCTTTTCAGTCAGAATCTTTAACATCGACTCGCTGAAGTCCGTGGCCACCACCTCAGCCGTGGCTTCAAGCTCACGACAGAGTTCAGCCAGGGTCTTGCACACTGCGAAGGTGGAAGCACCGGTGCCAGCGGCCACATCCATAACCCGAGCCTGACTCGCCCTCGCTGAGCTTGCACGCAGCACGTCGGACAATGCTACTGCAGCCGTACGCGAGAACTGCCCTGTGAAGGCCTCGAAGGGTGCATAGGCCTCTGAGGCCGAGTCCCACCCCTTTTTCTCGGACATCGTGCGGTCCAGCGACAACCGGCTTGATCTACAATGGCTAGGTAGGCTGGGTAGGTCAGGTAGGCGGGCAAACAGTATCAAACTTCAAACACTGGTGCAGCTTCGGCATAGCAAGCAAGTCAAAACAATAGAAAGATTGCCAGGCTACATGGATGGTGCTTGGAACCCAACTTCATGATCCAGCTCGATAATGTTGACTGCTGAGCCTCACTCTCACCACATCTGCAACCAACCAGGCCAGGGCAGATTGAAATGCCAATGGACATCCATTGCCGTACAAAACCCTGGAATCTGCCGAACTAGAAAGGCAACGGCAATGGACAAACACACATTTGTTGCCTTGGTGCGGCCAGGCCACCATTGTAGAAATGCCATGTCTCGTCGACTTTCAGCCTAAAGCCGTAGGGTGATTGTAGACAAACTCTGTGGCTCACCGGCATTGATGACACCAAATAGTAGAAAAATAAACGGTTTGATGGTTTGATGGTCCTTACTGTAGTTCATCTATGGCTTTCTCCACGAGCTTCTCCGCCTGAGCCCTACAATTTACTAGGCAACATGATGTGGGGCAGGGACCCTGCTTCATCCGGAAATTGGGATTCGTTGTGGAACCATTTTGGCTGCAATGGTGCTTTTGGAGTATAGTATATACAATCGATTAAACAATAATATATATACATATAAATATATATCCCGTGCTCAATGTCTTCGTCTCAGATGGCTTGATGCCTTCTTCATCATTCGTCCGAAGACCACAAATGGCTCAATATCTTTGTTTAGAAGGAACATCCGGGGTACCATATGCAACACACCACCAAATGTGCAAGAGCTCAGCCACACGTTTCCAGTGCGAGTATCAAAAGCAAAAAAAGAAGGGACAACGGTCGATACAAGCAAAGCCAACCAAAGCCACAGCCTCCAAAGGCTCAAAGGCCAAAAGTAGCAGAGCTACAAAGAAACAAATTCTGCAGGAATGGTGACCAAAAAAGCATTGAAGCCACAGCCACAGAAGCCAAAGCCAACTGAACAAACAAAAATAACAACACACACACTCTTCAAGCTTTTTTGCAACACTGTTTCCACTCTCCATCCACCCCTGCCTGATTCCCACATTCTGGACGGAAAACGAATTCAATCATGCTGCGACCCATGTACCTGTGTAGCTTCGATACATTGTCACCTCGGGAAATGTCTCAATGTTCTGCAATCGGGTAGCTTCGGATTCACCAGGTTACTCACTGAAATGAAATCGCTACTAGTAGTAATGCCACGAGCTACTAGTAGCTTCTTGCTTCTAGTAGTAAGGTGCCTTGTTACTTGTAGCGATGCACCTGTTTCTAGTAGCAATTGAGGCTGAGGCTCAGCATCAAATATAGAATTGCACTCAAAGCTCTTCCGCGTCCATCCGGTGTCTGTCAATCACACCCTCTTGCGCTTCTAGTCTCACACACCGAGAAAGACATGGCGGCCTCGACTTGGTTTGTTGAATAGTGGGTTCGTCGGAAGAAGCCGCCTGTGAGCAACAGTTCACTGCTGTATAATTCTTGAGCTTGACACCCCGCCTTCGGGCAATAAAGCCTCCAGCTCCAGATTCCGAACCAATTCACGCACCTTAGCTGGGGCCAAGGCGACGAGAGTTGCCCATGTCTCTCTCACCATCTTTCCGCAACAAATCTGGCATTCAGACTGATTCATGATATTCATGCTGGCGCAGGGATGGTGTTAAATGCCCTATCTAGCATGCGGGGCCCTTCAACGTGGCTGCTCAGAAGACAGACCCGAAGGGCAGGAATGGCTCCCAAGTCTTGGAGTGTCACAGGACTTGGCCCAGCACATGCTCATCTCCAACCTCCTCTGCCATCCGTAGAAAGTGGGCTGCCCCAGTGTCTGCAGTGATTCTCTTGCAAATACGGACGGTGCTGAGGTTGTTTCTCAGTGCCCTATCTTTTCAACTTTTGCATGCTAAACGATGTTAAACGTGGCTTCTGAGCGCCTTTCCATTCAATCAGGGTGGCAAGAGGTTGCAAACACGCACCCAAGCAGAGAGATCGGTCTTGTTTTCCACCTGTCTTTCGGCGGCTCCTATGGTCTTTGTCTCAGGATTGCCCTGAAAGGTTCTTGGGACACGCAAGGCCCATGTGCCACGCCATGTTGCGCACACGAAGTAGGCTAAATTCTTCCGCGTCCAAGCCATGTCTCCAGCATCTTAGTCATGAGGAGAGCTAGGCAGTTCCAAGGCATTCCCAGGGTATCAATGCAACACAGTGCCCACCTCCCCAGACCAGCAAATCCAAATTTGCGCTGCACAAGGCTGGCAAAGACTTGGACAATTCTGCGGGTTCCCAGTTCTGTCCAGATGTATGAGTGGCATGTGGATTGAATCACAACAAGACCACCCTATCATTTGCAAGTGACACACACCATATGACTTGCTGTCTTCGCATGTGCAAGGGAACACCTCCTGCAGCCAGGTCATGTTTCTGCCGCCTTGCAGGGAAGCACAGGAAGACAAAGAGAATACGCTTCCCAACAAACACATCACATGGAAGTGGAGTTCACCCCCTTGTTGTTAAGGAAAGTAGTCTTCCAAGGGACGATGCCATCCACTTCCATGTTCGTGAGTCAGAGCGTATCACCCTCGAAAATGAGGGAATCCCAAACTCAAGCACAAAGGCACAGAGTCTGATCGTAGGACTTGGAGATGGGTGACCCCTGCCTTGCGAGCATCCTCCTCCCGCTTCTCCCTGTTCACACGCCTCGCAGTTCAGCCAGGCTGAGGGGTTCAATCGCCATCGCAACTCATGAAGAGTTGAGAAGCGGCTTCTGGGCACGAGCAGCTCAACATCTTGGGATGGCGCATGGCATCACGCAGTCCAGCACGATCCTCATCTGTCGCATTTTTGTACATATCCGCCAACAGTTCCTGCACATTCATCCGCACTGATAAGGAAAGTGGCGCAAAGACACGTCAAAGACCAAAGGGACATCCAGAAACCATCCTCGGTCGTGGCACCTTTGAGGTCTCCGTGTTGTATACCTTATTCAGGAGAAAACATAGCTTTCCAAGGCGCCCAAGATGCAGTCCTGCCCGGCCTGCCCCCCTTTTCCTCGATGAGCCGACTTTTACTTAAGATCCTGGCGATACTCTCGCTTCCTCTGGTACCTAGCTCAGGGAGCCGGCAAACTCTCGTTGAGGGATTCGACATAGCTACGGCCAACACAGCTCATAAGTGTCGTAACTGTGTTCTCTTTCGCTTGATTCCAGCATGGCCCAGGCCTGTCTTTGTCGTCAGTCAAGTCCGACCAGCCTCGGCACAGCATGATGGGATCATCGGCACAAGATGAATCAATGATCCTCCGTCTGGGCCCAGGCTACCAGCACGTTGCTTTCGAAGCTTCACCACAACCTAGGAGATACATATATAGGTAATAAATGGTAATAAGGGGCGGAGTGACCACTGTGGCAACAAACCCCGCCTGATCTGCTTTGACCGTCTTCCGTGATGCAGCAACATCAATTGGATGACAAAGGTTGGGTATCTTGTACCTGGGAAGAGGCGCACTCATTGTCATCAGGAGCCCAATCGGCAACTTGTGGAACCGCACCAGTGGCTTTTGCCCTCCTTCTCGATGGTGAGGAGAAAGCCGATATTCCTTCAGGGCGGCATGAATCCACCTCCGCCCGCCCGTAGACCTAGAATAAGTGCACATCTAGCACAAACACTACACAGCTCCTGAACTCTACCCCGAAATGGCCTGAACTCGACCTGTATGGCCTGCTCTGGCAGCAATCCCACCTAGGAGAAAGGGGTCATGAAGACTTTTGACAGTAGTCACTGGACTTCCTCGGAGATTCTCTGCTCTGAGTGTCCAAGAAACAATACCGCTTTGATTCCGGCCTGAACTCCCGCGGGTCTTTGGGGGCTTGACGATAGGGACAAGCCAGAAACCGTTTCACATGCTTGCGTGACTCATCCAACACATCCCGACTTTTTGCCTCTTGATCCGAGGCCGAACGTCTGTTCTTCGGACGTGCACCGCTGCCTAGCGTGACGCTGTGAGTCGCAGCTTGGTTCCAGCAGCTGTCACATCAGGGTTCCTAGAACTAGCCCTCGTTCCTGCTGGTCCAGCGACTTGAACAGCTTCTCGAAGGTGACCTTTTTGTCATCCACCTGGAGACCCTGAAAGGTCTTCACCCATGCTTCCGGAAAGGTCACTCCATGGTAGTAGTTTGCATCCAAATCTTTCAAAACCTCTTGGCCACCCTTTATCCTGTTTGTGATTGCAGGGTTGTTAATGAGGTCGATGAGGTGCCTCAGGAATTCAACCCTCTCAGTTTGGCCGGCCGAGTTCCACAAATGCACCAGCGTCTGCATCCTCTGTGGTGCGGTCATCTTGGTTTGATAGAAGCTCAACCAATCACCATCTGGTAGCGTGAGATCGGGGGCATCCTCCAAGGGCCTGCAGTGCTCCTCTGGCAACTTCGCAGACACCTCAGGAGTGGCAGCTGGCGCAGCTGGTGCAGCAGCTGCCGCTGGAGCGGCAGCAACCTTTGGCTTTGGCGGCTCATCATCTGAGTCCTCGATCTTGTCAAACTTGGAATAGTCGATGCCCGGCATCTTCAGGTCAGCTCCAGCAAGAACCTCTTTGGAAGCGTGCTCGAGCCCCAAAGATGCGGAGCGTCGTGCACATGATCCAACTAGGCCAAAAGAAGGCTCTTCATCTCTCATCTCGTTGGTTGTTACCCACGTGGAGCCCACCAAACAATTTCTTGGGACGCAACTCCATCGAATGGCAAATAAATGCTCACGCCGGTGTTGCTCTGGTCCTTGGGACAAACGAATGCTCGGGAGTGATTTCAAGCCTCAAGTCTTTAGGCCAGCACCCAGGAAAAGCGGGAGATCTTTCTCGAGCCCTAGCACAAAGGCAAGACAAAACACAAAGGCAATCTCGTCTTGCTGCCCCTCTTTCGAGACTGCTTCCTGCAATCTTTCCAAATGTCATCAAACTTGTAAGTGTGACATCCAGGTGTCTGTCGAGGTCCCCGAAGTCAGCCTGGCTCCAGGACCCCCACGACTGCCCTAACAGGCCCTAACATCAAGAGCAACGTTGAAGGTATAAACTAACATAGGCTGTGTCCATTCAAAGGTTGCTACTATCGAGATCCCACTACGTTCAACTCTTGAAACATCTTGAAACGGCTATTGGTGATTCAATGCCCAATGCAGGTCGGCCAACCCTTAAACAAGCATTCCTCTGTCTTTAAGGACAGCACCAGCGGCCGTTGATCCTCCGGCACGATCTTAGTCTAGTCTGGTTGGTGCTTCTGCTTCAGCTGTTCTCTCTCCAAGTCCAAGGTCCCGGCAGCAGGATCCAGCCCTTCTTCAGCAACCAGGGCCTAGCAAATCCCTCTGGGAATACGACAGCACATGACAGCGCCAGGACCATCAAGCAAAGAAAGCTCCAACATGGACCCTGGCCCTGTCAACATTCACCTTGTCCCATGCTTGGTAGTACGTCTTGACATCCTGCATGTCCGACAAGAACAAGCCCCCACCCTCCTACGGAATGTGTTCAAGGCAAGTTCAGCTGCCTTGCCATCACGTCGAAGCTTGGGATCACTTGGAGCGGGAGATGTGGACGACACCTGAAAACGTCGCTCGTTAGCTCAGTGCACTTGGCAACTTGGTGCACTGCACCAACCACGCGGGCAATCGCCGGAGCGATCGTCTCAGCTGGGCGCCGCGGATCCGTTCATTCCTGTTCGGCTCTTCTTGTCGGGCCGATCCTCAGTCCGGCTCTTCTGGGGGGTCGCAATGGCCCCGTCGCGGTAAGGCCAACACATCGCTGAACCATGTCTGTTGGGCCTTCCACCCTCGGACAGAGTCATCTGAAAGAATGAAACTGAAAACGACCGACCGGAGCCTAGATCCTTGAACGTGTCGTCCTCCTCCGTCAAGGTAGCCTAAACCAACTTTGCTTGGTGTGCCTCTTGTGCAGCCAGGATAAACTGCGGGAGCCCCGCTTCTACATTTGTGTAAGGCTTCTGCGCGCAGCCCCCTGAGGCCCCTCTCGTGGCAGGCCTCACTCACAAACGCAAGCTTTCCTTACTCTTCATTCTTTGGGCGAGTCATTTGGTTTGCATCACATGGAATTTAGATACTGTAGTTTGGTAGAGGTCCCACAGTTCTCTCCGACTATGAGTAGTGTACATGTCACGTGCCGGCCTGTTGGCAACGATCTATCAGGCGCTTCTTGGTGTCTCTCACCGTCTCCGTTGCGCACGGCCTCATCGAATCACATTCTATTCAAATAGCAAACGTGAAGGGTCTGTGAGTCAGTTGGATAGTCCATTACGAATGGATCACCAAAGCTGAATTGAAACTAGCAACAACGGCATCGCTACTAGTAGCAAGGGCATTACTACTAGTAGCAAGAAGCTACTAGTAACAAGGGCATCGCTACTAGTAGCGATGCCCTTGCCCTTGTTATTAAAGTAGCTTGTGGAATCCTTGCACACCTCTTCGGCTTCATCGCCACCGGGCCACCACTTGCACGGCCGTTCCGAGTCGTTGTCGGAGTTGTTTCGGAGGCGTTCACCGAGTTCCGAGCTCCACGGCCAGCTGCAGAAGGTTTCCAAAAACCTCGGCGGAGCTGATGTCTATAGGAGCAAAGGGCATCGCTACCAGGAACAAGGACGCTACTAGAAGAGGCATCCAGTCGTCTGGATGGCGGACCGAAGCGGGAGTCCTCTCTCGGATCCAGGCGCCATCTGAGCCACATAAGGCCACACCCGAAATTCGCTCACCTAGCGCTACAGCAAATCACAGCCAAATGAGGCTTCATTTCCTGGTATGCCTGCGACCGCCCAGCAAAGGCCGGCTCCAGCTGCCTCCAAGTGTGCCTGAGGAGCTCAAAAATGCTGGGGCCGGAGCTCCAGAGAAAAACCCAAGCACCTTCAGGTTGGCGGAGCTGAACAGCGGATCTTGTGACAAGGATGAGCACAGCTTGGAAGCCTGTGGGACCAACAATGCAGGTGTACACCTGCATTCTTCAATTTACAAACGTCATGTCTTGACGAAGCACATGCGTTGTTTTGGAACGCTGGAGCTAAGGAGCTTTCCGTGCTAGGAGTGCACAAGTTTGCACTATCCCCATGAAACGAGGAAATTGCTCACCTCTGCTGCATCCGAAGAAGTTAGACATCGCAACTCTGCGGCTACTCCTGCGGCGTTTGGGAGGTCAGACATGCATGGCTTGGTGGGACAAAATGAATTTTAAACATTTGGACCGCATGGACCCCTCCGCAGCCTTTCGGGGCAGCGGATGAGGAAGGGCCAGAAGATGAAGCTGCAGCTGCAGCACTGGCCTAAAAATCTGAGCGTGACAAAAGGCCTCCTCCCACCTCTCTTTTCGATAGTGGCCTCTGCTGGCACCTCAACCTCGTCCGTAATATCTTCAATGATTGGACCCTGGCAAATAACCAATGAAACCCACATTTAGCTTCCATGACCAGTCTTTCAACAGTCTTTCTCAGATGTTCAAGGTCGTTTGCCATGGCCTGATATTCACCAGATGAAGAAGCACCTGCTGCTCCAGGATCATCTGATTCACCGGAGCCTTTCTCAGCTGGTAGGGCGAAGTTCATCGGACTGTCCTAGCACAAATGGAGGTATGCTGGCATTTCTGGTCCAATCACAGCAGACCTGGGTGCCCTCGAGGTTTCGGTCGCAGAAGGCCTTCATGGCCTCAAAATCATAACGAAAGCACCAGCTGATGTTCCTAAAGTGCCGAGACTGGCTACGGCAAGAGCTGCTTGCACGGCAGTTGAGCAGTCGTTCTTGGCTTTCGACTTCGCAGGTCTCTAGAAGAGATGTGCAATCTGTGGACCTGGAACTTCTAACTGATCAGGATTCGCACAGCTTGTTTTCATGAAAGCTAAGCCCCAACGTCTCCGCTTTCAACAGCGGAATGGCCACATCGAAGAGTTCCTGTCCGCTGCAGTCAGCAAACACGGATTCCACAAACAGGGAAGCGCTAGCAAGTTCCTTCGCTTCTTTGTAGCGACCTCCCCAGGACTTCAATTCAGCTGCTGCCTGGCACCAGGAGCATCAATGAAAATCTACAACAGTTACGGAGTATTTTCCAAGCATTCTGAGTCTTCCAACTCAGCCTTGTAGTACACCGCTGCGTTTCCATCCTGTGGGTTGGATAACGTTTGCGGAAACTGGCCTAGGACTTCGCCAGAGGCAATGATTCCAATGATGCTGTATGTGGCACCTGTGGCAGCTCCTTGCGAACTCTCCCAACCACCTTCGGGTAGCATCAAATCAAGTCTATGAAGAAGCAATAAGAAGCACGGCCATCACCTCAAACAGTGCAAATGATTATCTGCCCAAGCCGAATCAAGGTGCGCGCGTACTCAACAGTAGCGAAGTAGTCTGCAAACCTTTGACATCAAATCGTAAGTGGTAAATTGAACACTGAGTAGCATACAAGGCAGAGGCTTTGCACGATCTATGTTGGCTGTCTCCTTCAGGTGCCTGGGTGCATCCAAACAAACCCCAGTGATTGCCTCGAGTCATTACTAAAAAGCTTCTCCCTTGATTGAAACGTTGCTCCTAATCGCTGGGGCATGGACACATCCAAAGGACTAAAGAAGTTTTTTTGTAGTGTACAATTATACAACTATATATACAACGGCAATGACATGCTTTCAAGGATTCCTTTACTCATCTACTCTTTGGGTGGCAGGCGTGTCCATCAGAAGGTTGTGCACCTGCTGGGCATCGGAACGACGATTCTCCCAGCGCCTTGCGTTCTGGATTTGACGGTGAGCCCTACATCCTTTGCGTAGACTTACGTCGTACCAAGTCTGCACGCCTCAAGCAGGGTCACCAGGTCCCACGCATCCTGCACATGAAACACCAACTGAGCAAACTCTTCGATTGACCAACCCCGTCGTTGTCGGATGTCCACGTCAGTGAACAAACCAACCGCGCATTCCGGCACATTCCGAGACCATTCGGAGACATTCCGAGTGGTTCGTCTCTTCTGGCCATGCGTTGGGAGAGAAGAATGACATATCGTGGAATCGTGTGCCGTTTTGTGCCTTCATGGCTTCGAGCTCGTACGCTCGTTTCAAGGCCTGCACGACACATGGCTCAGTGATCCCTACTACTTGCAAATGCTTGGCATCAAAAACGCACACTGAAACCAAACTGGTATCACAGCACCACGGTTGCTCCATCTTCTTTCCATCACTTCTCTAGTTGACCGATCAGGTGAAACTGCAGAGACTCTCTTGACCTCTGCACTGCTCGGGCTGCCGAGGCCGCAGAGGCCGCAAGGGGCCACAGGGAGCCTGGCGCTCGAAGCAAAGGCCGCCAGGCTCGCCTGGCTCGCTTCGCTCACCTCGCTGGGTGCTGGGTGGAACACGTTTCCAAGTCGCCCGTTGTAGCAGACCGATGTTCCCAAGTCGGCTTCCACGAACTTGAGCAAGAGCTGGAGCAAGACTCTGGCACGATGTCAACCCGTCGGAGTTCTGGAAGTTGGCGAATTTTACGATGTCAAAAGGCGGCATGACCCAGAAAATCCCAAGCCTTGCACGTCTTGACTTTTCAGCTGAAAAGCTTCTACGGAATCAAGACCATCATAGAGCGTCCCGCCTGCTTTCATGCAAGACAGGAGGGGTTGCACCAGTTCATGTTGGCAGTAACTCCGCAGCGTTTTTGCATACTTGGGTATACGTGCAGCAGGCTTGATGTCAGTATCAATCACTGTCACTCGTCCCCATAAGCCACTGTCTCCAACCTGTTCGAAGCCCAAGTCCTTCAAGAAACCCTCTTCTTGCACAGGCCTTCCAGCATTGATGATCAAAGACAGGTCATGCGCAGCACGCCCGAGCAGAAACAGGGCCAAAGCCCATTGGGGGCGTGTCTCCTTGTACAGCTGCACTACCAACTGCATTGCCTCTCTGTCGCCCCATGTTTCCTGAAGGGAACCAAGCAGCCTTTCTTCAGCCTCCAAGGCCTCCTGAAAGCATTCAGCAGGAAGCTCACTTGGTGCGCCTGCAACATCATACAACTCCAGAATAAGGTCCTCCACTGCTTGACCCGCTGCCAACAAACTCAAGGCTCGCAGCTTTTCAAAAAGCACCCTTGCACTCAATAGCACCTCTAGGGCCCAAAGACTTGCAGCAATTCCCACACCATGAAGGGCTTGTTCTGCATAAAGAACATCCACAAACGAATAATTATGTAGTTTAAATGTGGAAAAACAAAAGTGACTATCCACCTTTCAGTACAGGGAAACACCTCAACAAAAGCCAAAATATTGCAGGTACTTTTGGATGTCTTTGTGCTCAGTGGTGCAACACTAACGTTGCGGAAATTGCAAAAACCGCAGTGTTAAAAACCCTTCCGGCAGTGGAAACATGCTTCTCTGGCCCACCTCGCACAAATCGTCCAGCGCAGCGTCTGGAGCCTTTGAGGCTTCACATGCTTCCCTGCCAAGCAGTCGAAAGTTGTTTTGGCGAAGGTCCCTTGAAGCATCCCTTAACACGGACAGCTCTCGACGAAGCTCCACCTTCCGTTGTTGGATTACAGCCTCGAACAGCGAAATTGGATTGTACTTTGACAGTGTGGGCTTCTTCTTGGGGAAGTCGATGCACTGAAGCATGGTGAATCGAGGGACACCGTCAACGCCGCATTCTGGCACCCCACAGTCTGCTACCCCAAGCTTGGGTTTGATCTCAAAACTGAATCCGTTTGGGCAAAAGCTCAGGTCGGCACAAAGCATACCTAAAAGCAGATTCCCATCAGATGTGCTTGTGTGCAAGGCACTATCGCGCTGCACACGGTCTGGAGGACGGGCAGCTTGGACTAAGGAATCGCTCCAGATCAAAGAAACCAATTCCAGGTCCAACTCCACCAGTGATCCAGGAGATATGTAGCTATCCTTAGCTCCAAGCACAGCACAACTTGAGGCCGAGGGTTGGTGACGAAAGCTAGCGGAGCAGGGGTGAAGCGGGTGACAGTCGGCCCACTATGCCAGCGGAAATGCACACGTCCCAAAAAAGTTGGGGGGGGCAGTTTTCACGCGATGCGGCGCTCTCGAGGATTCCAGCCCCTCACTTGCTAAAGCAAGAACAACTCCAGCTAGCTGGTGCTAGCTTTCGTGACGTGCAAACATTGGATCAGGATTCTTGCGTGCGCGACCTGCCTCCCTTGAGATGTTGCTCTAAAAAAACTCGAAACGCATTTGCCAATACGTGCCGCAACCACCATCTCACTTGCCCTGCCGATCCCAATCCCTCTAGAAAAAGGTATATAAGCACAACATAGCACAACACACACACACACACACTCGAGAAATTGCGTACTGACACGATTGCGGTGTGCCACACGCCAACCTAAGTAAAAAACCTAAGAAACCAGGGTAAACAGAGGAGGTTGGAGGCCATCGCTTGTAGGCTGGAAGCCATCGCAAGCAGGTTGGGTGGCCATCACTAGTAGGTCGGTGACATGCAACTACAAACCACTCAAGGTTAGAGGCCATCGCTAGTAGGTGGAGGCCATCGCAACCAGGTTGGAGGCCCTCGCTACAGGCTTGGAGGCCCACAAGACAAGCAAACTGCAAACCTGAAGACTTAAACAGCCTTGTACCTCTACTAGTGGTTAGTAGGTACAACATTCACCAAAGCAGGTACGTGGGACTGGCCAGGTCCCACATCCCGCGATATCACCCAGCTTCGTTGGTCAGGGTTGGTGATATTGCGCCTTGACCCCCTGCTTGGAAAATCAACGGATTCCCTGTGATTCCAAGGGTTCCACACACTCACACCCAAACACACCATGCCCAGAAAGTCCAAGGCACCAAGATTTGCCGAAGGACTGACCTTTGAAATCTTATGTCCTCTTGGACCTTTCTGTTGCTCTCCGGAATCTTGAAGCCCTTTCGAAGTCGGAGCACGCAGCCCCGAAAGTCCTCGCATCCGCCGACGTACCGTAGGATGATGTTTGCACCCCCTTCGCCAGCGTACTCCCACTGAAGCCTCCCTGATTCAAAGATTTGCTTGGACTCAATGCGGACCGCAGCTTCCATGCTTCCATGGGAGGCACCAAGCTAGTACAAGGACAGTAGAAGAGCAAAAGTGCAGAGTGGACGTGGCGTAAGAGATGCCGAAAGGAACAATGCCACTAGTGCCGCCTGGTTATCTATCCCAAGCTGACTGTCCTACACACACCTCGGCAAATAAATCCTTTCCGCTCTCTATCCTCTCTCTCTCTCTCTCTCTTTTGCTCTCCCCCTCTCTCCGCCTTCTGAGCATCTTCTCGTCTCCTCTGACCCCACAAACACTTGCCAAGCTCATGGTACGCGCTGGCTGTCAAAGGCCTCAGAAAACGGCAGAAAACTGGCCATCATCAACACTAGCCAACAAGGTTGAAAGTCGCTGGTGAAGGTCCGCCTGTTCTTTTTCAGCGGACCCTCCAACCTTTCTTTTTTCGTTGCCTTTCCGGATGATCATGCTGCTCTTGAAGAAAAACAGTCCCGGGCGACGTCTCACCGCAGGTGATCTGTCAAGTCAAGCAGAGATGACCAGCTCAACAAACTGCTGGCCACTAAGAAAAGTGGGAAGTGACAAAGCTAGCCATCTGCCTCGTACATCTCAACAGCCTCGCGAATGTAACTCTCCGCCTGACGCGTACATTTGACTTTTTTCTCACCACCACACCTCCCAAATGTCAGTCCATTTCTGGCCAGCATCAAGCCTTCTTGAGATCACCTAGCTTGGCGTGGATCTTGGCACAGGAGATGCCAGCCTCAAATACATGCAAATCGCATGCTGGAAGACTGAGAGGACCAGACTTGGAGCGAGAGAGAGAGAGAGAGGAAACAAATATAGAAGAAAACAAAAAAGAGAAAGGAGTCGGGAAATATGTCTGATCCGGCTGTGAGGAAGCTGGGGAAGGCACCTTGGCCTGCAGAGATGCAGGTGCGCCATTGGCACGTTCCTCACCACGATCACTGTCAAGTCATGAGGCCTTTTAGCCTTTTAGAAGTGCCCTCGTCACAAGCTAAACCATGGACCTTGTAGAACTCGTAGGCCTTGACGCAGACCTCACAAACCAAACAGCCCGAAAGGAAACGAAATAGAAGGAGCTTAAGGTATCTGAATCTTGGACCCAGCTCGGAACCAGACTGGGAGAGCTTCCTTGTGCTTTCCGAGCCGGTCCTGCCAGCCCACGATTTCCCCAGAGGCAGAAGTCGTGATCGCTCAAGCTAGCAGTCCCTCACAATGCCCAACCCCAGAAGGACCTTGGTATTTCAACAGAGTCTCCGTGCAGAACACCATTGAAAGCAAAATGTCTCCAGGATTCCAGCTCCACCTCGGTTTCCCTGAACATGCTCCAAAGCAAAGCTTTCGGTGTCACACTGTGGTTACTCTTTTCCCACGCCTTGTTCATTCCAGATTCCTGCTCGATGAACTTCAAGGCCTCTAGTAGCGACAGTGTCTCTGCCACATACTTTCCCAAAGCGCGGGTGGCTGTTTAAAAAAGCATCGGTCCATCCATGCCTGACGCAAATAGTCCTCAGCCTTTTCAAACTCCCCCAATGAATTGTACGTATGCCTCGGCCCGCCGACCGCAATACCAGCGAGCGAAAGCAAAAAGAGGCGGCAAAAATGCACAATGCGAGGGGGGTCAGCTTTCTGTACCAAACCTTTTTGTTCTACACTTGGGTGTGTGCCCTCAATTGATCAACCAACCAGGAGCCTCTATCTATCTATCTATATTTGCCAAAGCTAACTTATTGACTTATTGTGCCCCTCGGTTGCCACAGGCATTCCCAGTTTCTGGTTGCATTGACAGAGGCAGGGGCGCAATATTCTCGCAAAGAGCTGCGCCTCGGTCGGCTGCAGCGTTTGGCTCCCCCAGTTCACCCAGCGTTCTCCTAGGTTACGTTCTCCTAGCGTCCTTGCTCCTAGTAGCGACGCCAGGAGCCCCTAGTAGCGTCCTTGCTCCTAGTAGTACGGCCAGGA